CGCGGTCTGAGGGGCTCCCAGGGGCCAGGGGGACCTTGCTGAAGCGAGGGGCCTTCCCTCGCCGGACGCCAGGGCCGCCCTTCAGAGCCAGAGGCGCGCTCCCCGCGGGCCTGCTGGGGCCGCGGCTCCCGGGGCTCTGTGAAGGGGCGCGCGCATGTGGAAGGCCCATGCGCGGCCCCCCAACCCTCTGAGGGGCGGCACAGACCTCGGGGTGGACCCGTGGCAGCACCCCCGGCCCGCCCCGCCCCGTCAGACGGACTTTAGGGTGACCCCTGGAGGCCTTCCCCATCTGGCAGGAACTTCTCGCCCCTTCTCTGCCCTGCTTTTTCTCACTTCAGCCTTGGGGCTCCCCAGAGGTGACTTGGCCGAGTTTGGGGGCCTCTAGCGCAGCCCCACCTTGGGAGCCGAGATTCCGCCTCTGCCTTTGCTTCTCTCTGAAGGCGGCGGCTGCGGGCCCTGGAGCTGGGTGCCCGTGGGTGTCTCAGGCTTGGGGGGGCTGGTGGTGCCTGGCCCAGGGGCTCTCCATGCGCTGAGGCCCCCGGAGGACCAGGCCCGCTGCCAGCGAGGAGGGGTCGGGGCTGTGGGGGCGGCTGTCGCGCCGATCAGCGGGGGCCTCGGGAAAAGGGCCCCGCGTGTGGGCTGACCTGCCGTGGCGGGCTAGTGGCCACTGGACTCCCGTGCCCGGGACGCTGCTGGCAGTCGGGAGGGGACGCTGGGGCCAGGTGGGGCCGGAGCCCCTCAGAGCCTGCTGCGGGAGGGGGCGGTCGGGGGCCGGGCCGGAACCGGCAGCTGCTCCCTGCGCCTCCCTCTCCCCAGGCAGCCCTGTGCCCCCTGCTGCCTGGCGCTGCGGCCGGGTGGCCCCTGGGCATGTGGGACATGGGCAGCTTGCCCAGCCTGTCGCCTCGCCCAGTGTGCCCGGCCCGGCCTCCCGCTGGCGTTGTCTGGGGGGCCCCCGGCCCTCCTGGTGCCACCCCACAGGCCCCTCACTAAGGGGCACACCGCCGCGCCCCACTGGTCACTCTGGCCACAGGTCGAGGACCCCCATCAGGCCTGCAGCCCCTCGGCCTGTGAGGGCGGGGTGTGGCCAGGTGCAGCCTGTTCTCGGCCTCAGGGTGTGCTTGGCAGACGCTTAGGGGCCACTGCGGTCAGCTTGGGGGCGTGGGAGGGGAAGGCAGCTTCCCACCTGAGTCCTGCCGGTGCCCCATGGCCGGTATGTGGCCCCGAGAGGCCCCCGCCCCCGTCCGCCGGGCAGTGGCCGGCCCTGCTCCTCACCCGCGCCACACGCATCCCCACGCCTAGGGCCTGGCCGGCCAGTGTCAGGCCAAGCTGTCCGTGCCGCCCTCCCGGCTCCGGCCACGGCCCCCGCTGGGCCCTGGCAGTGGCCGGGGCTGCAGGGGCACGTGATGGGGCTCCCCGAGGCCCAGGACCAGCGCGCCGGGGCTGTGAGGGCCCAGCGGCGCTGCTGACCCGGAGGCCTCGCTGCTCAGCTGCCCTGAGGAGCGGGGAGGACCCCACCCCGGCCCGGCGTCCTGAAACCCCCGCGAACAGCGGCAGTCGCAGGTGATGCCCCTCGGCTTTCGGCACGGCGCTCGCGGGAGGCGGGGGCT